AGACATAGAAAAAGAAGCATAGATACAAAAGGCAACTGTCAACCAGCTCCACAGGCGGCCCCGTCCAGGAAACACACAGCCAGGCAGACGAGCTCCAAGCTAGCTCCCATGTCAGAGGATGAAGAGAGCACATCCAGTTAGTCACAGTCAGAGAAACAGGACATCTAGAAACAAAGGTTTTTGCTTGATTTAATAACATTTAAAGGGTCATAATGAGACTACATGGATGTTCCTGCAGGATCTTCAGAGCACGAACCTGATCGAAGTGTGCATGGCTCTCACAGTGGTGAGCCAGATGTTCCCCAAAGACATGATCCCTGCAATCCTCCCGCTGGTGGAGGAGAAGCTTAATCACCCAAAGTAAGAAATGCTCCTTTTTCTTTGTTAGATGAATGTTTGAAAGCAGTGACTGATGAGTGCTTATTGTCCCGCACTGTTGTAGAGAAATAATTCGACGTAAAGCCGTTCTTGCTCTGTATAAGTTCTACCTCATAGCGCCCAATCAAGTTCAGCACATTCACAACAAGTTTCGAAAAGCTCTGTGCGACAAAGACCCAGGTGTGATGTCGGCTTCTTTACACATCTACCTGCAGCTCATCCAGGTAACTAACGGTGAATTTAAGCATTAAACACTCCTTCTCTGTGGTGTCATCTGATGTCACGATATAAAAAACTGAAATCGTTTCAGGAAAATCCGGAAGGTTACAAAGATCTAGCAGGTAGTTTTATCACCATACTGAAGCAGGTGGTGGGAGGAAAGCTGCCCATGGATTTTAACTATCACAGTGTTCCCGCCCCATGGCTTCAGATCCACCTTCTCCGAATTCTCTCCTTACTGGGTAAAAATGACCGCAGGTAATCGCTTCTCCTGCTCTCTACTGTTTAACCTGATGCCCACGAATGTCATTTAAAAAAATCTCTCTCCTCTCTTTGCACAGCACCAGTGAAATCATGTATGAAATCCTTGACGAGTCTTTGCGAAGAGCAGAGATGAACCACAACATCACCTACGGTGTGTTTGATGTTAAAGGAAAAGTCCGGTCAGCAAGGAATGATCAATGGATCATTATTTATACCTAAAACC